GTGGCTCACAATAAGAAGGAAGCTCATCAAATACTCCCGTTGCGCTCCCAAATTGGAAGGCTTCAAGAATACCACAGAGTCCGTGTATGCCCTCAAGGTTCCTAGGGATATCTTAATTGCGGTTTAGGGTTTAGGGTTGAACAACACTAGACCCCAAAGACTCCGCCCTCAAACTTACCCTGGAAGCCTAAACCCGAACCCTATGCTCCATCTTTCGAGAAGCTGTACTGCTTTATAAGGGTCCAACGCGACTACCCAACATCCATACACTTGCCCAAAAAACCCTAAAACCTGTACGCTTATTACTTGTATCGAAATCCAAAAAATGCCTGGTTATTTGGTATTTGGCCCCTTAATACTGCGCCCCCAAAGCCTTAGACCCTAAGCCCTCCTTTGGTCTTTAGCCACATATATATATAGAGACATTCCGATAGCGCCTCTAAGGGTCTCTCGCTCTCTCTCTCTCTCTCTCTGTATATATATATATATGTACATATGCTGTAATGTAATTATCTACGTATAGTTATGTAGACTTCTAAATCGTAAACACACACACACACACTCACACACCAAAAAACATCAAGGGACTCATGATTTGGGACCCTCTCGGGGGAATGATATTCCGAGAGGCTGAAGCCAAAGCTTTGCCAGCCATTCACCTGAGATTCGCTTTTTGGTGGTTGAACCAAGTAAGATTATATTCCTTGTGCAAAATGTTAAACCCAAGAAGTGGATACAGTCTAACTCTATACTGGGTTCCATAGTATCCCAATGTTACACCCATAAGGAGGATATAATCTTACTCTATACTGGGTTCCATAGTATCCCCACATAAAATACTACTCACCTGAGATTCGTGGGATTTGGGTTTAGGTTTTAGGTTTTGAGGAAGGCTAGGGTTTAGGGAGCTTAGGGACGTGAGGATGTATATGGGGGTTTCCCGGAATTAGGGGTACCTTGTTGGGGGGGTGGCCTTAATACGGCCTATAGTATTTCGGGGTCTTATTGGGGTCCATCTTTTCATGGAAGCTACCATATAGGGTTTAGGGAGTTCAGGGTGTGGGTTCTTAGGGGAGGGATTTGGGCTTAAGAAGTTGAGGCTTTCTGTGTTTAGGGACCCTTTAAAGGGATTTCATGGGGGATATGGGGATTGTAGAGGTATGGCAGCTACCCAGGACCTAGAGAAACCTATGTACATACATAGGGCTTGGGATTTAGGATTGGGTTATTTAAGGATTCTGCGGCTAAGGGGGTTTAGAACTGCATGGGTTTAGGGTTTGCATGGTGGATTTTGGGATTTGTAACGCTTAGGGAGTTCACGGTTTGAAGCTTAGGGACTTGGGGTCAGGGTTTCAGGGATTTAGATGTCTTTGTCTGCAAGGTTATCAGGGCAATGCTTTAAGAAACTCCTTTGCAGATCCTCTTGGGGTAGTAGATTAGCGGGTTGCTGTGGAACTAAATTAAGTTACTATAACGAGGAAACCCTATTGTGCGTATATACCTGCAATATGGTAATTGATCTAAGTTCCTTAACAGCAACCCAAATAGATATCCGCTACTCACCACAAAACATAACCCAACAAGAGTTACATAGAAGACGTACGAGCCCCTGGGCAGGTTGAGGGTTTACGGTCTAGGGTTAGGGGTTTCTGGGTTTAGGGTTGAGGAGTTGAGGGTTTATGGTGTAGGGATTTAGGCTTAGGGTTTATGAGTTCAGGGTCTTTGTCAAACGCGCAGCTGAGCCACGCTCATCTTCTGGGGGTCTGTGACCTTGGGGACCAAAGAAGAAGCCTCATGGGGAGTAAGGACATAAAGGGGATTAAAGGATTATTGGAGTCCTCATTTGAAATCATTATGACATCGCTACATTGTTGCGGCACAAACGCACGCCTTCACAACCAAGACCCCCCCAAAAAAAATAAATTCGCCACCCCCAAGCGCTTGTAAATCCTCGTCAAAGTTGCCATATTCTGACCCTAGACCCTAAACCCCATCACCCCAAATCCTCTTAACGTGCAAAGACCTTCCCTTGACATCCTGACATCCTAGCTCTTGTATGTCCACTTCAACATTTAGTACTGCCCCCACCCAGTACCAGTCTATATTAGAGGTCCTATTAGGGGCTATATATAACCATATTATAATTATCATCCAACTGTTACTGAGGGGGGCAGTACCCAACTTCAACATATCAAGCACGTCTTGAGCCCGTAGAAACCTCCTGAAATCCTTGACATCGCCCCCCCCATAACATTGTAAAGCCGCTCCAAGATGAGTTATGCAGAACCCAGAAATGCAGACCAAAACCCCAGCAAGCCATCAAAAGACCGCTAAGCCCTCTCGAGTTCATGGATCCCCAGAATCAAGTTCTAATGAGATATTCCCTTGCGCCTGATGTTGCGCAGAGAAGCAACCAGGCAGCAAGCTTCAAGGTCGGAAGCCAGCTTTTCAGTGTCCAAACTAATGTACCCCACCCAAACATAACATATATAGTTATTTAGCGTGCACTGCAAAGACAAGCACAGAATTCATGTGCCCATCGTCATATGCAATCCACAAGCTTTTTTCAAGGCCGTGTCGTGGTCAGCATCCGGCTGGAAGCGAAGGTCCAAGGGCTCCTGCCCTGTATCATACTGTCATTCTCTCCTGATGCAAGCTCTGGCATCCCAGCCAAAATTGAGTCAGTTTGACCCCTTTTTTCAGCGCAATGCACGACGACCATAGTGGAGGTGGTGCGGCCTCGCCGGGCGCTTGCAGCCGCTTCATCACGGCGCACGTTTTTCCTGGGGTATATGTCGATGCCGATGGCATGATTGCTGGCTCCGCAAAGCGCTCCGGAAACTTTCTTCTTCTGCCACGAAGGCGCCAGAAGCGAGGCTTGCTGTGGATTATGGAGTTTTTGGAAGCTTTCTCGGGCATGTTAACCAAACAAACGCGGTTAAGGTTTAGGGTTTTACAACACCTGATCGGTACCGTACTGTAAACCCTATACTTCCCAATTTCTATAGCCCCGTATCCATACAAACCTGATTTCCATTTGGTGTTCAATGTGATTTTCCGTTTGATGTTCCATTAAAACCCTACTGCGAACCCTAAACACCCTAAAGTCGCCAAAGCCGCAAACAACTAAACCCTAAACCCTACTAAGCCCTAAGCCCTAAGCCCTAAACCTTAGACCCTAAACCCAAAGCCCGTAGCCCTTAGCAACTCAAGGCGCCAGCAGCGAGGAGTGCTTCGCCGTCCGCGCCGGGCCGGCGCAGGCTTGGCAGGAAACCTCCATGGGCTCCACCTCCTCAGAAGCAGGGATATAAAGAATATGCGGGGTTTGGGGCTTAAAGGGCTTGGGGGTTTGTGGGTTTAAGGTTTAGGGTTCAAGGGATTTTGGGCTTCGGGTCTGTTGGTTTTGGCTTTACAGACATATATATATATGTATATATAATTTCTTTGTTTAAGATAGCAGGGGTCTACTTTGGGGGCCAGGGGGCTTAGTAGGCATACTCAAAACCCTTTTCAGCCATATAGCAATACCTGTTATCCCCACATTATGAGTGGAGTTTGAAGCTTGGGGCTAACTGGATGGTTTACGCGACTTGTTCTAAGTAGTTACTAGCTCCCACGAACGTTCAAGTAAGTCCTAAACCTGAACCCTAAATCCCAAACCCTGTATGGTTTAAGCGCAAGTCTGGGGCTAGGACAGGTGGCAAAGGGCCCCAATTCAACAGTTTGTGGACACACGGTTTCAGGTTTAGGATGGATGGATGGTTTAGGGCTTAGGGGCTTGGGGCCTTACACGCCCGGAATGATCAACAAAGAAAGACTACTACTTCTAGCACATTTTTAGCCTGGACCTAGCCCTGCATGCACATATGCTAGCAATTTAGGACTCGTTTGAGCATTGAACCGTATGATAGAGATCTTGCTTTGATGTTTTTTGCTAGTGGTTCTTTGATCATGGAGAGGAAAGAGCGAACATGCATCGCACAACTATGAATATCTTCACAAACAAATCCCGTAGATCCTGTTGAACAGAAGACACTGCAGGAAGCACTCCCTACACCAGAGAATGCTGTATCAAGAAAGCGTAGCAACCCCAACCCGAGAGTGTTGGAGGATGTCTAAGGGTTGAGGGCTTAGGGGGGATTTGGGTTTCCCCGACCCTCAAACTCAGGACCTCATTACCATCATGTGCCAGTTCTAGCATCCTACTCCTGGGGCGTAATTGCCTCATATTGTTCATTTAATCCTCAAACTATGGCTGTAGAAGCTCTAACAATTGGTCCCGAAACCCTATATCTCCCAGCCCCAGGCCTGAGACCTTAAGGACTTACTTCGTAAACCAATCAGCCCTAAACTTAACTTCCTGCACTTCCTCGAAACTTACGGGGGCTCTCAGAAGAGTCTGCAAAGACTACTGTCTTTCCGAAGGGCTTTAAATTGGCTTACATGTACCTCTTGGTGAAGTATACCCCGAACCCTACACCCGAAGCTCTCAAAACTGAACCACAAACCCCTGACCCCAAGCCCTCAACCCTAAACCCTAAAATCCCAACCCCAAACACTCAATCCCCCAACCCTGAACCATTGAACTCACACTCCCTGTACAAGCCCTGGTATGGAGTATGGACCCAGTGTCCATTATCTTGTCCATAGCCTTTTCAATGTGGCCCTCCCTGGCTATCCGAACTCTAAGCACTGAAAACATCGTATCCCTACGCCCCCCCCCCCCCAAGTAGCCGAATATGATCTAAACTCAAAACTCCTACTATCCACCTTAATGGCCGCTATCATATTCCCTATATAGTCCCCTATATGACCCGCCTTTGAGGAGTTTAGACCCTAGCTCATATGATCCTGAAGGTTGAACCCCTATACCCTAAACCCCTAAAACCATAGAACCCTAAACCTTAAACCCTAAACCCTAAATCCTAAATCCTAAACGCAAAACCCCCATACCCTAAATCCTGAACGCAAAACCCCTAAACCCTAAACCCTAATACCAGGTCATGGTCACAACTGACAAGAAGGGCTGTCAGTGCTTCGAGGCAGAGAGCCCGGACGAAGGCCGTGCTGAGATTCAGGATTTAGGATTTAAGGTTTCAGGGTTTAGGGTATTAAGGGATTAGGGCTTTAGGGTTCAGGATTTGGGCTTTAGGTTTCAGGATCTGGGAGTTAGGGTTTAGGGCTCAGGATTTAGGATTTAGGGTTTAGATTTAAGGTCTGGGGTTCAGAATGTAGGGATTAGGGTTCAGAAATTAGGGTTTAGGATTTAGGGCTTAGGATTTAGGATTCAGGGTTTAGGATTTACGGTTTAGGATTTAGGGTTTGGGGTTCAGAGCTCAGGATATAGGATTTAGGCTTCGAACCGTCCCTGCTGCCCCTGTAATACTGTAGTACTGAAACCTGACGTGATACAAGCCTCGCAATCCTTAAATTCCCGCGAACGTCGACTATCAACGACAGATCCCCATATAAGTAATCCCAGTTTCATGTTCTTGTCCATTTGCTTCTCTATCATTCTAACGAGTTGCCAAGTACATCATTAAACCACCCTAAACTCTAAACTCTAAACCCAAAACTCTGATCCCGTATGATCTTGTTTAGGACATACCCTTAAGCATCCCTTTGGTAACTCAATCCTAGACCCCCAAAGTAACTTTGTATATCCATAAAACATTCCAACATAATCCCGTAAATGAGCATGTTGACGAGGTGCTTTGGTGGACGGTGCTCAGCAGATGGGGTGGCAACTTTGCTCACTGAGCCTCTATCTCCCTCGGTACTTGGTGGGTGTGCGTCAAGATAGGAAACCCTCCGGATGCACTGGAGTTTAGGGTTTCTGGGGGTCAAAGGGTGTTATAGACATCTCCCTTAAGTGGTGATTGTTTTGAGATACACCCTGCCTGTAGATTCCAGACCCATCATCCCTTCCTTTCCTACTTGGCTCTTAGCACGCTTGACTTTCTGAATACTAGCCTAAAGTACTATGGTCAAAGTTATGGCATGACATTGGTTTCTACATTTCTTCCTGTATCTATTTCTTGCACTTGGACCTACATACCCCAGAATTCTGAAGATTTGGTTAGGGACGCACCAGAAATGGCCCATCATTCGGAGATGACTATCTGACTCAGGCAATATTGCAGCAGGACTGCGGATTCCCTCACCGTGGAGGTAAATGGGCAGCAGCAGACGTACCAGATCTTGGCCGTGAACACCTTCAACTCTACCAGGCCAGAACCTGGTGTACCACTGGTGGACTCAGGATATGTAGGCTCCGCCTAGGGCGCCACTCAGTCCTACATATCCCTTTCAGAGTCATTATAGAATGTACCGATTCCAAGAGAGAATAGTTTGATTTCCTTACGCAAGTCCGATTTTCTGAGTATTTAAGCGCAAGTGTGCGTCATACATTTTAGCGAGGGGCTAGGTTAGCATTGTCAAGGAAATTCTGCAGGAACTGACTGCGCTCCCCGATTTGCAAGGAAGTACAGAATTCCAACAGGTCTCTGGTTGATCATAGCATGAACCGTTTGAATCGCACCCGCCCCGCTTTCCAATCGTTCAGGCTTTGACTAGGACAAGTGGCATTCTCCCATGCTTCCTCCGCCCTAGAACCCCAATATATACCCCATTTTAATGTAGTAGTTTCCATTTTCTTTTCCATTATCCCTATATAATCCCAATATACTATAATAGTGTTTGGGAAGCAGGAAGCGCATGTCTGCCGTGGTTCGCACGCCCAGCGGTGAGTCCTGGCTTCTGGCCAAGGGTGCGGACAACGTGATGATGGAGAGATCGGACCCTTGGGTTCAACAGCTGGGATGGAGACAGGTGAGGGTGAAGGGCCTGCAGGCAGTAGGAGGGTTTAGGGCTTGAAAGATACTACTCAGCACCAGATCAGCGACCACATGTGATATGATGCTTCAGCCCACATCCTCTTAGCAGCCCCTTGAGGACCTTGTCCCGGAATGGCTGACGCTGAGCTTGGCAAACTTCTCGAGGACCTTTCTGTGTTGGGGTTGTACTTTTCATTCAGGTGTTACGCAGAGCCCTAAGCTCTACCTAGACCCTCCGATGTAGTACCTTTTTTGGTAGTCCTAATAAGCGTCCCAAACAACCATACCATGCCCAAGAAGCAACTACGTTGGAGGGTCTAGGTAGACCCTCACCCAGCAAGCGTTTCCAGGAGTGGTTTGCGAACCTTGGTTCTGGGTCGCCGGCGTTTGCATCTGGACGAAGTGCAGGCATGGCTGCAGACTTACGATGCTGGCTTGGGCGTTGGGAGGAATTTGGTTGGGCTGAGATGTTAGGGTTTGAAAAGGATTGTGGTGTTGAGTCTGGGTCATTGGGTTTTGCCCCTGTTGTGTTGCAAAGATCTTCATCCCATTCCAAGCCCTTTACTTGATTAGATCAAACATTCCGAAGCACTCTACCCCGTTTTAGTTCCGGTCCGGGGGAGCAATGCAGAATGCAGAACAGGGGGGTGGAGCTGTGTAGTCCCTTTTGAAGAAGTGATATTGCGTAGATGAGCCAGAATCTTAAAGGAGGTTGTATATGGGATGATACAAGGGACTAATATAGAGGTTATTAAGGGGAATCCTGGCATTTTATTTAGATTATGGCTGAGATGAAACTCCATTCCATAAGCCATAAACCCTAAACCGTAAGACCCTAAAACCCTAAACCCTAAGAGCCTAAAACCCCTAGACCCTAAAACCTAAAACCCTAAACCCTAAACCGTAAGCCATGACCAAGGATGCTGCACAATGCGCGTTGGAGGACCGAGAAGCCAAGCTTCAGGCTCCCCTGTGGGAGTTTCTTATGAGGGTCTTTGGGTTCTGATATGGGCTATAGTCTGAACTCCTTAAAAGGGCCTACATGAAGGGGGGCACGCAGAGTTTAAGACTGTGGCACATATGGGCTGTCACAGCACGATCTGATGAATGTTGCTACCTAGGTTTCTTTGGCTGTGACGTTTGAGTGCGCTCAGGTGATTAATTAGTGGCCATGATCTGGCCCGCTGTAATCCTGCCTAAGTTTGTTTATCCGTTGCAGTTTGGCCTAGATTTTTCGGCTGTCCCCGTCATTTTTTTCGCTGCCACGCTGTGATGAGCGGAAGCTGCTTCGGGTGTCACAGCGCGGACAAGGTATGCAATTTTCGTTTGTCAGAGCCCGGTCTGCCAAAATGTTTCTAGGTGTCACCGTCTGGTCCAGTGCTTCGTAGCGCGGTGGTACCTAGAGCCCTGTAGTTTCACCATTCCGGCCGGGTTAGGCACACGGGTGCTGAAATGTCTTTCGGCCTGGCAATCAGAGGTCAGGATTGATGGCATGGTTTAAGTCCTGCCAGCTTTTATCAAAACACAGCTGAGGCCCACTGATACGGCCGGTACTTGCTATCCTAATCCTTCAAGGAAATGTCCTGACACGATCCGCTTCTAAGGAGTTCTGGATCCCTCCAGAATAATCCCCCCGAAAATGCATATTCACGAAAACTATCCTGAGCCAGGGAGCTTCGGACCCTAAACACTGAATCCCTAAACCCTAGACCCCTAAACTCCCCCCAAACCCCTTAACCCCTACACCCCTAGACCCTAAACCCCAAAACCCCTAGACCCTAAACCCCTAAACCCCATTATATGCGAGTGTATAGATCTGCTCCAGGCTGCCGCAGAGAGGATTGAGGTTAAGCTGGAGATGGTGGGCGTGACTGGCATAGAGGACACTAGGCGGTTTAGGAGTTTAGGGTTTAGGGTTTAGAGGGTTTAGGGTCTAGGAGGAGTACAGGTTTCGCATTTTATTCTTGGGCCATAAGCCCCAAATCCCGAAGTCAGCCTTCTGTGGGGAAGCAGGATGGGTCATTTGCCTTTTCCACCTCGCCACCTACAACCCACCCTAAATCCTAAACCCTAAACCCGAAATCCCAAATCCTAAACCCTAGACCCTAAATCCTAAACGAGGACAAGCTGCAGGTTGGGGTCCCTGACACCATCATGAAGCATCTGGGAACTGTTGAGGAAGTTGTTTTTCAGTTTGCCGCGGGGTGGGCTTCTGCAAGCACAATTGAGCTGGGACCTGTAGGAGCAAGCCTTGTACAATAGAGGTGAGTGGCAAAGAATGTGACTATTTTCAAGCTCATAAACCCTATATAAACTCTATATGGGGATTGTCCTAAATTGCTGTCAATACGGGGTCCCATATTTATGTTCCTATTATAATACGGGCCCTATATAGATTTCCCCCATTTTGGGAACAGTAATTTAGGGAAACTTCCTTTAAACCCCTTTATATAAACCCTATAGTCGTTTCCATGTTCTTTTCCATTATCCTTATATTGCCCCTATATAACCCCTATATAAACCTATTACAATATAGTAGTTTTCATGTTCTTTTCCATTATCCCTATATTACCCCAATATAACCTGTTGTTGAGACTCTGGACACCAAGGCTGAGAGAGGCAGGCATCCAGCTTTGGGTTCTGACTGGTGACAAGCTTGAAACCGCCAGAAACATTGGCTTCAGTTACGGAACTTACTTTAAGTTACCATAATGGGTATACACTTTAAATACTAGGGTTGCCTCAATATGGTAACTTAACGCAACTTCCTTAACAACAACCCAGGAAACATTGGCTTCAGTACCAACCTCCTGAGTGCCGACATGGACGCCGGATTGCAGCACTGCTTGCTGTCTAGCCTTTGGCGAGTGGGTGACACTTTGTGTTCTGAACGGCTACTCCTCGATGGAAAACACTTAGCACTGCAGAGAATGAAGTGTCTAGCTTGGTGGTAAGCCCGTCAGTCCAGCTTTCACATGACTTGCCGCAACCAGTTAGACAAGGTTGCTGTCACAAGGAAGATTCGGATTTGTAAGGGCTTCCGGCTTCAGGTCATGCAAATTACTTGAAGCAGAGTCCAAGGCCACGTGGTGGCTTTCATGGGACCTTGAGAGATGCCAAGCGTGCCGGAATTTATTTCTAAAGCATCTTTACAAAAACCAGAAGAGCCTCCATGAATGTCACATCGACTTGGCAGGCGGTACGTGCCAAGCGTTGTCTCTACATCTCTCCTCTGGCTTGAGTTTGCAACATTACCATCCTCAACAGGGAATCCTGGAACCCCACACTCTGTAATTCCCAAATATCATGGCTATTAGACCTTACCTCCTGGGACTCCCCTGAGGCTATGCCTAGACCTGTCTAACGTGGAACTCCTGGGGCTATCCCGAGCGCTTGCAGCCCAGGACATCCGGGTCCTGGAGCACTCTGAGGACGTGGAGCAAGCACTGCAGGCTCCAGCATTCTCAATGTTGCAGGGTGCGGTAGCAGCAATCACCATCAGCACAATCACCTGATTGATACTTAGAAGACGCTGCTGAGAAAAGCTTAGATGTACCAACGGTTGGCATACAAAGCCACGCCAGGAAGGTCAACAACTATCATGGCATGTTATCTGTTCATTTGCTGGCCTTCGTGGGTGGTTCATGTTGAACGAATATGGATGCTAGGGCTTACAGCTTACGATGCGGGAGTGGGGTCGTTGTGAAGGAGTGCAGATTCAGGCCTTCCAGCAAAGAAGAGGTTTCCATTTCAGCTCGAGGAATAAGTTGGGACATGTTCCGGATGCCGGCAGTTGGAACTGTTGGGACCTACATGATGATTCAGCTAGCTTCCAATAGAGATGTTTTTTCAGCTTATGCTGATGCGTGTTCACACACGTCACCACATGGCGTAAGGCACCGCAAACGTATGCACAAATTGTCTCACAGCTAAAGACAGCCCGAACTTCGGAAATCATCAGTCGCAAAGCACCCTGATGCCCAAAGCCTCAACCGTAAGCCCTGAAGCGAAATCCCTGAACCCTCACAGAGCTCCAAACTGGAGGAGCTTGCTTCACCAGATCCCGATGATTTTGACGAGTCAGCACTGCGACTTGGCTGCCCAGAATCCAATTATAAGCGGTTTAGGGTTTAGGATCAAAGGTTTAGGGTTTAGGGTAAGGATTTTGTAGGGATATATAGCGGTTAGACAAGGACTATAGAGGGGTTGTATAGAGATACATAGGGCCGAATGGAAAGAAAATGGAAACTATTATCTAGGGTTTAGGGTGTACTGATAAGTAAGATTCTGCGACAGTATTGTAGAAAGGTCTTGTTGGTCGCCATCTTGCTTTTGGCATCCCAAGTTGCTCAACCCCTGACTCAGCAAATGCGATGTCCAAACGTTGGATTCACCTGGGTTCTCTCTTACAATCTGTGGGTTAAGCTTGTGGGATCCCAAGTAACACTTAGCAGTTGCAGGATACAGGTGAAAACATTGTTTCGACACCTAGCCCATCATAAGGCAAGCCCAGAAGAGCCTCTCTGCCTCATGGCTGAGGAAGGGCATTCAAAAGAATCTGTAGCGCATGGACGAGCTCCCGCTAATGGTCGGGCATTAGTGATCCAGTCTTTCTTCTTGTTGTTGAACACAACTTCTGCACTTGCGGCAACTATGTGGGTAGTAGCTGCTTAACTAGGATTCCAACTATTAAGTAGCATGCGCAAGAGCATCAAATCACTTTTAGCCCCTCAAGACCCAGTTTGTAACATTAGATTTGTTAGAAGCCGCATACAAAGACCCGAAGTACGTTGCGGATAATGTTCATTCTTGCAAGCCCAACGCATGCTATGCGCCTTGCCGAAACCGTAGACCTTTTTCAGCGCCTATACTTACGCAACTTGTGCGCTAGAGAAAGTTGATGCGCGACCATACCCTTAAATAGAATACTATGTCCCCAATATAACCCCTATGTGACCCCAGTTTCCATTTCATTTTCCATTTTCTTTTCCATTTGATTCTCCATTATTGGGGTACAAATCTGCCAACTATACCTCCGTAAATCCCAACTCAGAGTCTTAAATCCAGAATCCCTGCAACACGCACCCTTTGCCCAAACCCTATACTTGCTACTGCCCAGGAACCAAAGCTGCGACTCCTGGTGCAATAAAAGCCCTAAGTCCCAAGTTCTGATACCCTGGGCCCCCAAAGCCCAGCACTCTAAACCTGAAACCCATAGCTAGCACCCCAAAGCTAGCAGCCTAAAACGTATCCTGAGCACCCAAGCCCCAAACCAAAAAGCCCTAAACCCTACACCCCAAACCCTATACGCCCTGTACCCTAAACCCTATACCCTAAACCCTATACCCTAAACACTATACTCTAAACCCTGTACCCCAAACCCTATACCCTAAGCCCTGTACCAAAACCCTTAAATCCAGCCTAGGATGGTCACTGGTGCAGCCCTGGAGCAGATCACAACTGCGGGGCTTCTCAAGGACGCATTCTATTGAATTAGTCATTTTGGGATGTATAGGGATTATATGGGGTTATCGAGGGATTATATAGGGGTTATATGGGGACACATAGGGCTCTTGGAGAGGAAATAGAAACCACTGAAGTTCTTATGTCAATGTCCTTGTTGAGATGTTGAAGCTAGTCTTAGGGGTGCCGTATTATGGACATGGAGGAGGCATCCTGGGGCTACTTGAGGGTTGCTTGCTTTCTTTGTGGGTACGATGCCCATGTCAGCCGCGATCTTCATTGCACTGCCAAGAGCCCGGAGGCTTGAGATGCAGCGTGACGGTGTTTGTCGTTTGAAGCACGCTGGCAGCCCAACAAGTGTGGTTTGCAAATTAGACTAATCTCGATCGTTTCAGGCACGTATGAGACAGCACGTCATGAGTAGTCCGAAAGCCTATGGACAGCGGCAGGTGGCAAGGTTGAGGTACATGCGGATTTCCAGGCTTAAGAAGTACCTTGGGCTCCAGAGAGCTGCAGGCTTTCTCTACGGCATGGCATGTGTGGCACTTTTGCTGTTGTGTCCTCATGTGTCTTATCCAGAATATATTGCATACACAGGGCCCTGAATCTGAAACCAGCCGTACTCATCTCAAAAGCACGCTTCTGCAGGACTTTCTGGATGCCTCAAGTAGCTGCAGCGTGGTGATTGCCTGTCGCGTCTCACCTCTCCAGAAGGCGCAGCTGGTGCGTGTCTTTCTTAGTATTTACAACAAGGCGTTTTCGGTCTTCATGTGGTAAAGGTGCTACATTGATAGCAGAAGTCCTCATTTTCGCACAACAGGGAGGATGGCAGCTACCCCAAACCCCTGGACCTGTATAGTCAAACCCAACGCAACAAAACTCTCCAAGTACCGAAGCCTTACAGATACCTGGGGAATGTCAAACTTAATCTCTATATATAACCCTCATGAAGCCATAAGACTCCCTTATGTACAGGGCCCCCAAACCCTAAATCCTAAACCCTAAATCGTACACCCTAAATCCTAAACCCTAAATCCTAAACCCTAAATCCTAAACCCTAAGCCATGAACCCTAAACCCTAGGTATGGTTCGTGAATCTGCAGATCCGCAGCCTGTCACCCTGGCTATCGGAGATGGCGCCAACGTGTCCCGGCCATCGTCCGGAGCGAGTTGCAGGGATTTTCCGCGAGCGAGTATAATGTAGGGTAGTAACTGTCTTCAGGGTTTAGGGTCTAGGATTTGGGGCTTAGGGTTTAGGATTTGGGATTTAGGGTTTAGGGCTCAGGGTTTAGGGAGTGTTTTTTGGAGCCCTGTGTCGAGAATTTCATTTTGGGGGACAGGCAGAGCTTGACACCCATCAGCGCGGTGATGGTGATGGTCTAGACCTTGAACTTGCTGGGGTTGATAAGGGTGATAATATCTACAGAATCCCTATAGAACATGTTCCCTCATTCCCTACTAAACCCCAGCAAGTGAAGAGATTTGAGCCCAACTTCCTGAAGTAAAGCGCACACAGCACCAGGACTAACCACTCCCAAGAAGCAAACTCCCGCCTCTGTCGTGAAACACTCAAAATGTAGCACTGCTATGAGTTAGAGGAATATTTGCCGTTCAGGAGGAAGGGGGGGCAGTAACATCAGGGAGAAGTTATTCGTCCAGATTTCTCAGACTATGCCTCGAGCCCAGATTGAGTGCTTCTGAACCACATCCTTGCTAGAGGGGCCCCTGCAAAAAGGCTAACCAGAATAGAATTCCGAACCCACTGGTTCGTCAGCCAAGGATGTGCCGATGATCCAGGAGGCCCATGTTGGCGTAGGCGTGTCCGGCAAGGAAGGTCGTCAGGCTGTCAACGCATCCGACTTCGCAATTGCGCAGTTCAGATTTTTGGAGCGGCTGCTGCTGGTCCATGGACGGTGGGACTACCGCAGGACATGCAAGTTCATCTTGTACACTTTCTGGAGGAATGCAATCATTACAATGCTGCTGTTCTACTACACCTTTTTCTCCGGGTATTCGGGAACCTGCATGTTCACAAGCACTGTTTGGACATCTTTCAGCATGGTCCTCTTCTGGCCGATCATTGCAACTGGTATCTCAGATCGCGATGTTACGGACAAGCAGGCAGTGGAACATCCTTCACTGTACGAAACCGGCCGGCTCGGACTGGATCTCAACATCACTAAGATGGTAGAGATGTTGCTCTCCGCTTTTGTCCACTCATTTGTGATCATGACAATCGCGGTAGTGGCAGTGATGGACCTGGATGTGGCAGCAACGGGCTCCTACTACTCCTTTGGGTTTATGGTGTTTTCCTGGGTGGTGTTGACAATGAACTATCGGGCCACATTCATTACCACCACCTACAACTCGGTATCTGGGTTGCGATTAAGGAACTTCAATTAATTACTATAAACAGGCACCCTATTATTTACCATATACTCATATTCTGGTCACTGAATTTCGTTTCTTGAACAGCAGCCCAGGTATTTGCCGCTGCGCTCGCAGTCTCGTTCATTTCGTACTTGCTTTTTGCTTTCGTGTACTGCAATCTGCCCTCCGTATTCCCAGAGGTGAAGCTTGGCAGACTTAGAGCCCCCCTTAAGTGGAGAAAATGTGGGCTGTGGGGTCTTGTTATGATATTGGGGACTTCCATGTTCGATCTACTCCAGGGAGACGGTAGATGCCTCGTAAGCTTGAACGGCAACAGGGACGACTCACAGGATCCTATTCGCGGTTGAGGGTGTAGGGTTCAGGATGTAGGGCCCGTCAGGCAGCCCTCATTCAGGTTAGGTTCCAGCTAATTTATATAGTAACAACGACAACTCAAAAACTAAATGCAGACGGGGTTCCTTATGTAAGTACAAAAGACTTTCTTGTCTTATCGGATTGGGCTGGCTGGGGCTGCTTCTGCTGCTGCAAGGTTTGCGGCCAGTATGAGGGAAGAACAAGAGCTACTATCTCTCATGATCCTCAGCATGTAGTCGATGTAAACACCAAAATAGCTAGGCCTTTTGCTCCCGCAAGCTTACTGGAGGTTAGCGGGGAATAAGGGAATCTGATATTTATATATATATATATGTATACACGCTCTTTAATACATTCCCTTCTTCCCTACTAGCCCCCAGTAAGCTGAGGTATGGAATCTTCCGGCATGTCGTGCGGAACCCTGTCTTTTGGATGGGAAGCTTGGCAGTGCCACTGTTGGCGGTCATGATTGACATGTTCAAGGCTTCAAGCTACCATGGAAATTCACAGGGTTTAGGGTTTAGGGACAGGAAATACATGGTGGGTGTTTTCATGAACTTACTCAAGGGACCTAAGGAATTGTGATTGTTCTTCCATCAGTCTCCTGGTGATGATAACCTTTAGCCGTTAGCCACTGCTGCATGGTTTGCCCCAAAACTTCCTCCAAATCTTGGATGCCCCTACATTACATGTCCCGCGCCAACAAGAGCCATGTAGCATCTGAAGCTACAGAACGTAGCTCTGACTAGGCTTACGAATAGCACAAGGCAAGGGCTGGCATTGGGCACAGGGCCTGGGCTGAATGCATCCATATGATATATCCCTCCATATCCTTGTATACCCCTACATATCCCCCAGTATCCTTCATAAACCATACACGCCTGTAAAACCCGGGCTGGGTCTAAGCCTTTTTGGAGGCATACTTGGTGCTCGAGTTTTTCCCTGACAAGCGCGACCTCATCCTCGAAGTGAGCTTACAGGGGAAGCTCTCCGACATCTTTCGACATCCTGCCGGGGACCCTTAGATGGTATAAGATAGGGATAATATAGGGTAGAATATAGGGATAATATAGGGTAGAATATAGGGGTTGTATAGGGATAATGGAAAGAAGATGGAATTGACCGCTTTATTTTGCGTGAGGGCTCCAACAGTTGAAGGCGGTCCTCCATTCGTAAGCGCCGCAGATTTCCGCGAAGTTGCCACGAGCAGAAAAGCTACATAACCCTTATAACCCCTACTACTACTCCAATATAAGCCTATATGACCCTATAGAACCACAATATAACCCCAATATAAACCCCCCAATATAACCGAAAAGTCAGGACCCGCCTTGGGAGTGTCAAGAGCGGGACAGCCTGGGCAAACATGACACGGTTTATATTCAACTCCGCAAGGACAAAAGCGTGACCCCTCCATACACAAACACAGGCATTTCAGTTTTTCTCCTACATGGCTTGCAAACTCAAGTACAAAACGAAAGTGTGTACATTCTCTACATACCCTCCAGAGCCTTGATACAGGGACCACCTGGAAGTGAACCCACGATTTTGGAAACTCCCCCGTCCCCCCAAAGGGCCACGCTAAGAACTAAGGACTATGCCCAGCGCGGGCGCTCCTCCAGTTTGCAGAGGTGCGTGTGAAGGTTTATAGGGTTTAGGGTTAGGTTTAAGATTATTGGGATATATGGGTGTTACATTGGGATAACGGAAAAGAAAATGGAAACTACCATATTATAGGTGTTATTTAGGGGTTAGGGTTAAGGGTTCGCGAGTTGAATTCCTGGGCTGCAGATGAGTGTAGTGGCTGTGGATTCTCCAGGTCACGGCTCCTGGGGAAGCACAAGCTTGTGGAGCTCGAAAGAAGTCTCAAGTGCATCACTGTTACGCTTCTTCCTATCATTATGGTTATTAATATCATCATCATTATTCTTGTATTTATTCTTGTATTTGTATTTGTTGTTGTTGTTGTTGTTGTTGTTCAGTTATTATTGTTATTGCTATTTTCTAAATAACCAGCCCCCATCGAACATGTCGAGTGGGAGTGGGAGCTTGGCAGATATAGGACTTGGAGCCGCCTGTGTGCAGCAACAAGGATTTCCAAAGAGGAGGTCCCGCATAGGATCCGCAAGCGGGCCTTCGCTCACTTTAGGGAGGAGAAGGGCTACGTGTGATTAGATAAGAGATTTTGAACGGGACTAAACCCCCCTAAACCCTAAACCTAAACCCAGATACAAGGTTCGCAAGTCCCAGCTCCAAAGCCATGAGCCCTACAAGCCACAAACTGTGAGCCTTACAAGCCCTGGTCTCTACGACCGTAAAGTCCCTACAAGACCTAAACTGGATCTAAACCCTGAACCCTAAATCCTAAACCCTAAACCCTAACAGGAGCGCAACTTGGCATACTGGAGAAGTGTCCACCATCAATTCGAGCTATGCCTTCAGCTTCCCAGAAGGCCGCAGCTTTCTTCTTGTTTTTGGAGGTGTTGGGACTTAGGCGGTTTAGGGTTTAGGGTATAGGGATGTTCTGGGCTTCAAGGTTTTGGGTTTGGGTTTAGTGTTTAGGGTTTAGGGTTCAGGTTCAGAGTATTGGCCTGCCCGTCAGATTTGGGCAAGTCGAGGCAATGTGCTGACCATGCTCACTGTCACTACTGAGTCATGCTCATCATGACAGAAAGACCACTTGCTCAGTGTATGTAAATATTATGACTGTGACAGTATTGGGATTGCAATGTAGGTGCGCAGTATCAATTGTTCTTCCAGGCGTCTTGCCCAAGCTATGGAGCCATGCCTTATCCTGGAGCTGCTTCATTTTGTTGCATTTGGATTGTATGGTTTGTGCTGGCCGCTTCCGTTAGAGCCTGTGTGATGAGGCGAGATTGGGCAATCAGTTGTGCACGTAGCAGAAGGAAAGTCCAAACCGCCACGATCCACGACGTAAGACTGACAGTCCTCCGGTTACACAAGCTCTGCATGTGTCACAGCTTTGAATCTGTCAGTGCACCAGCATCCTCCCAGCTTTGCCGAACAGGTCAACGCGTGCAAGCAGTTGGGCCAGCGTCTCAAAAGCTGTTGATGACATCTGCAAGTCACCGTGCAGCGCTGAATCACTTGGCCTTGGGGCAGGGTATGAAGTGTCAATGGCACGTTCCATGCACCTGTTTCGGAAACGTTCCAACGAAAGGGGGGGCATCTGCATCTCGGGCCCCCCTCCTATACTCAACAGCTTCACCATTCTGTTTTGCAGCCCATAAGGTCGATTCCTCGAGTGCCCATGGACTTTGACACCACGCTGATAGATGCCATGCCAGCGCAGACGATGCGGACGCTCGACTGCCGCAAGACTTGTGCACATGTTTGCACTTTTGTTGGACTCTACTGCTCAACTTCAATCATGCGACGCTGACTGCGTGGGCAAGGGCATTGTAACATGTCGCAGCAGGCAAAGCTGTTTTGTTCTCTAAGGCCCTCGCCGAGCTTTGCAGCCGTTGCGTCAGAGTCAGACTCGGGCTCTGGAGGCCAGATGGCAGTGTTGTTTGGGTCATTTGATTGTTGTATGTTTAATGTAAGATTGCTACTCCGTGTAGCTTGCGATCAAGAGTAGCACGGGTGTTGACTTTTCCGGTTTTCAGCGCCACCTTACCCGGACCCGACATTCCTGTAAAGGGCTCACTGTCGGTGGACACCGCGAGGCAGCGAAAGCTACGTGCCGCCACTTCAGCGGCCCAAGTCGAGCAACTTTGCGCAGCAGAAGATGCCTTCCCTGCAGCTCCTGAACTTACCAGACTACCTTCTAGAGGCATTGTTGGTTTGTGTTGTATAGTGTGTACGACAAGACTGTAGAAGTTGCTGTCCTAAAGAATTTTGGTCCAGGGGCATGGAGCATTGGAGCCAAGGTTTGCATTGAACCGCAAAGTTGTCCTGGTGGCGCTCATATCCTCAGGCGTTCTTTTCGTGCTGATGGGCCTCATGACGCTTCTGTACTCCTTGAGCTCATCACAGTTCAGAGTGGTCTATGATGCTCCGCATGATTGGCCGCGATGGAGTATAGAGAGAAACTCGGCGGAAAGAAATTAATGTTGTTTTCGCAGCAATGTCTGCGGGGTTTCTTCTACAAAAGGTGTCCCTCATGAGAGTTTGGGTCGACCAGATGTAGGTGGTCTAGTCTGCGAGTTCTGGGGGTCCTCGTAGCCCTGGTAGCAAACTTTCTCCGATGTCTAGCTTGGGTGGCCCAAACCTGCCTCTCTACGCAAAGGGAGATCCTGTCAGGGCCCCTGGAATACAATAGCTGCAACCCAGTTTGGTGCATTTGTCTGCAAACTCATGTAAGAGTCTCCAAAATCTAGCGGCCTTTTTCGGGAGGGGGTGGGTGGCAAAAATGACTATGGTTATACAGATTGGAGTCCGTATCATGGTCCCCCTCTCATGGAAACTACCATGTGGTCTCGGAAGAAATCCTTTCTGCAATCAACAGCAATGTTGTGCGTTCTGATCCCCAAGGCCTAGACCCTAAACCCTATTTTGTAATTACCCATTGCTACTCGTATGATTACGACTATGCCAGGTGAGGCCACTTATGTCGGCGAACGCTTCCTCCGCCATTGCCCTGCTCCCAAGACCTGCAGCTTTGACACTGGGATCAAGAATTTGAGGGGTTAGGGTTTAGGGTTTATTTAGGGTTTGGGGAAAATATGCCGGGATTATATGGGATTATGAGGGGATCCTGGGGGTGCTCCTGCCGGGTTCTATGGGATGATTTGATAAACGCTCAGTTGGTATGTTCATGTCTGAAACACAAGGACTTGAGTTCCTGCAACAAGAGAAGATGGTGTTTTTTCTTGTGTGTCCCCTTAAGCATCCAGGAGATTGCTGTTCCTGCTGACCTTGATCCACCAATTCAGGCCTTCTGCTCCACGAGGGTTTGATTGCTCAGGGCCTAGCGCATGCAGTTCACGGTTGTAAGGGTTTGGGAGGTGGACTGTGGAGTGAAAGAAAAGAAGGAGATGGGCAAGTGAGCAAGTGCTGGGAGTCTCTGAAGGTAAGTCTTTCTAGGATGCCCCAATACTATCATCAACTACACAAAAGCCATCAGTGAGTTCAGTAGCCTTGTCAAGATAGAGGACTGTAAGGCGGATTGAATAGGCACGTACAGGCCAGGGTAAGTAGAATCACGCGGTAGCGGTAAAATCTCGTAGGAATTTGGATTCGAGCCGCCTGTTAGAGCTGCTTTCATCTCCTTGTGGCCTCAAAGATAGGGAGTGTCCCTCCCAGTGCACCACATGCTGAATCCAGATGCAAGACCCTAGCCGTAGCAATGCACGATCTCATGCAAATCCTCGGGGCTCAACCGTGCAGAGGATAAGGCACAGAAGGCTAGCGCATTCCGTCTTGAAGACTTTGCAGGAGCTCCTTCCGCTTCCAAAGTGGCTGAAAATGAGCTCACTTTCCTTGGTTTAAGTGGTTGGCTGTGGCAGGATCAGCTAGGACTGATATAAGGCAGTGAGCCCTCTGCATGTTGCCGAGTCCCACGCGCCCAGCGCAGGTGTATTATGAGATAGCTCCGTTCCTGCAGAACTATTTCACATACATCAGCCAGGGCCTTAGATGAATCATGTCCCACACAATTTCGCTTGAGCGCCTTTTGTGTATGTCTGGCTTCAACGTTAGTTTACATCTAAACCCGGGAGGCTCCGTCGCCTGGCATCAACTCCAGGGACATTCTGACCCTGAAGCTGGTGACCTGTGCGTGAGCCGCACGCGTAGCTTGGCCAGATGCGGCGTGGGCGGGACTTGGAAGGTCATCGCAAGTCATGCATGGGTTTGCCTTCACATCAAGATCCAGGTTGGGAGCTGGCCTGCAGAAACGCTGGGTCTTTCTTTCGGCGTGCCCTCTGCAATGCCAGATGTAAGGTCAGACGCCGCAAGGGAAGGCGATCTTCCCCTGCGGACTTATTGCAACCTCGGTGTTCAACGACTCCAGGCAGCAGGCGTGTCACCCACGGCATGTGTTGACCTTGAGCATGTAGGAGTAGCTGAAGCTTTGTGCAGATGGTTTCTGCGTCACTGAGAAAGCGAGAATGCAACTGAGGACACCTTCGAGCTGGAAGGAATTCCTATTGACACAGAGTCGTCCCACATGCCTGAATCTTGGCAGTGTATCGAGCATGGGCGGTTTTTTCGTGTACTTCCCAACGGTCGATCTGCTGTTTGAGAGGGATACGCCCAAGGTATGGCGAGAGTTCCACAACCCAGCCGACTATCCAGAGCGCCCCAATGTGTCCTGGCTCTACCAGCGGTATCCAATGGTTACGAGCGAATCTTGGTTGCTGTTGAAGAACATGTTGGTTTAGGGTTTAGGGCTAGGGTAATTTTGCAGATGTATATGAGTATATGCATGCTTGAACCCTGCCTAAAATGAGACAATGGTAATCCTTCCAGAGTAACTCACCCTACACTTCCCCCCTCGAAGGTGATACCTTTTTTGTTTGGGGAAGGGGGTGGGTGGGGTGTTCTTATAAGAGCCTTCACCAAATAACATGACAGACCCCAAAAAGAAGCAACATTGGAGGATCCAGGCAACTCCTAGATCTTAAGCCGTATCCCAAAACGCCTTAAAACCTGGCAAAAAACAAACTAGGAAGAGCTGGGTGTTCAAAGCAAGCGATTCATCGCGTGGATGCTGCCTAACTTCTTGGGTCGAGCGGGGAAGCCTTATGGAGTCGCTGGGTCTTATTTGGTTTAGGTTGTAGGGCTCGCTTCATTGCTCCCACGTTTTATGAAAGCTATAGCTCTACATAAAAAAAAAAAAAAAACGTCAACTCAAACTTCCATATGATTATCCGTTTAACTTTTCGTTGTTTATTGGTTGTACCCAAATCTGAGAAGGAATGCGACACAAAATAGATGATGTCGGTGAATATCCCTTAAGCTATATATTCGTCTTGTTACCTTCAGAATAGTACTTCAGAATAATAATCACTGAGCATCCCAACTTAACCCTGAACCCTAAACCCTAAACCCTAAAGGTCATCTCGCAGCCACTGAAGCGGGGGCAGCTCCTGACTTTGCACATCTCTTCCACGTTTCCGGTTGCTGGGATGGGAGCCCACAAGACCCTGCTGCTGACCCGAGGGGCTCAAAACTACACGCTTGCCTACATCCTGTTGACGAGCGTCCTGTTGTTGTTGAGCCAATAGGAGCTATAGTCTAAACTCCTTTTAAAGGGGGCTATACAGGGGCTGTGTTAGGAGACTATTATGGCTAGCTTAAAGTGTTTGCCCTGAGTTGGCTTCAAGTAGCTTGAATATGCTTACCTGACATCCTGCAAGTCCTTGCGTACATGGCGCTGTTGCATCCAAATTGGACTTTGCAAAAGCAGGGCCCCCCTTGTCTGTTGCCAATTCGTAGCCTTTTTTCTAGGAACCTGCCAGAAAGCGACCCCTAATTTTGGAAAGCCCCACATGAGCTATAGTCTAAACTCCTTAGAGGAGATCATATAGGGGAGTATTGTAGGGGTTTAGTACGGGGGATACTAGGAGTTTAGACCTTAAACCCTAAGCCCTAAACCCTAAACCCTATACTATACATATGGGTTATTAAGGGGGCTACTAAGAGTCTAGACTAACTATGTCCTACCCAAGGCGGAGCGCTGTGCTTTGGTTTGGTAGCCACCGTAGTCGCCATCTATCTGTCCTGCGGACGGCAGCCTGGGAAGCCCCGGGAGAGGATTCTGATATAGGGTTTTAAGGTTTAGGGTAGAGGGTTTGAGGTTTAGGGTCTAATTAGGCTTTAGGGTATATGGTTAGGGTTAGGGTACAGGGTTTGGGGTTTAGAGTATAGGGTTTAGGGTTAGGGTACAGGGTTTGGGGTTTAGAGTATAGGGTTGAGGGTATAGGCTGTAGGTTAGGTGGATCCCCCGCCCTGTAATAGTGGCTACAAGGGATAATAAGGACGAAATTATTACAGGGTGGGGGGTCCTCCCAAGATATAGGGTTTAGGGGGAGGGTTGGTGTTGATTCCTATCCCCGTATAACGGAGAAGCAAATGGAACATGAAATGGAAACTGGGATTATTCATTTAAGGACCGTAATGCAGAAGCCTAAATGAGGACCGAATATCACTGGGTTTCTTCTACAGTTATAGCATTGGGTTCCTGAGTCAAGGAGACTTCAAAATTATGTTGGTAATGGGCCCCTGCATCAAACTAATAAAGTTAGCAGAATACGAATACACTAGAAATGTGTAAATGCTACCTGATGGTTTCCTGAAACTGAGTACTCCATTCAAACTCCAGAACAGCAGCACAGGATTTCCTGGCATACCGATTCCAGCACAAGCAGCGAAGAGGAATCCAGCGCTTGACGCGATGTGTGCGACTGGCAGGCAATGCAGAAGCCATTTCCTGCTCGCACTGGAGGGAGGACATGCGGGTCAGCACAAGGGCCAAAGAAGTCCAGAGCTCTCGCAGCCTGAAAAGTCTGCGTAACAAGCAGAAGAGTACTGTACAGCTTCAGCATGCTGCAGCATGCTGAAAGTTTTATCGCCGTCGATGCGTCTCCAAAGCTTTTGTAAAGGTACGTGGGCATTTAAGAAAAGTGCAGTATGGGGAGAGTTGGGCAAAAAGGGAAATGATCCGTCATGAGGCATGCAGGCGTTCAAATCTAATTTGCTTGGTGCTGCTGCAACACGAGATCTCATAAGCTGCAGGTATCAGGTCACGGGGGGCAGCCAACTGGATCAGGCCTGGGCACGTAACAGCCATAACACCACTATGTTGACTATAGGCCTCATTCACCGTTCTTTCAACTCTCAGATTAAAACGCTGTACGGGCAGTGGCTGCGGACAGGGCTCGGGGTCAGGGTTTTTGAGCGATATATATATATATAGAGTATATATATAGATTTCCTTCATCCTATTTTCTTCATCCTTCAAATGATTGCGTAGGGGATCCTGCCAATTGGGAGTGCGAGGATTGGGCGACGGAGGGGTCCGGAGCGGGCGCGCAGGTTGACGCAGTGAGAGTCAGTAAAAGGCGCGCGAGCATTCAGGGGGTATCGCAGTAGGGATGAGGTCGGCCGGCTGCGGGTGGGGTATGGGTGAGGCTAACGAGATCGCATCGGGTTAATGTTCTCAGCGTCCGGCTGCAGCTCATTCGGTCTTGATTATGCTCCGGATTGATTTTGGGTTCTTGGCTAGATCTTATTTGGACCCTGTATCACCCATCCTTGATATGGGCTTGGTGGGGGGGGGTACGTGCTTCAGCCAATATTTTCAAAGCCATTTTTGGGACATCTGTGGGGTACATGTTGAGGGGGTAAAAAAATGGCTCGGTAAAAATCAGAGGTCCGCCAAGCCATTTTTTGTGGAAATCTTTAGGATACATGTTGAGGGCGTAGGATAATGGCTTGGCAGACGTGGAGAGGTCCGCCAAGCCATTTTGTCACTCCAAGGGACGTGCACTGCTTTTAGGCTTTCTGAGGCCGCGCCTTGTTTGGTGTAAGTGAAACGTTTTAACGGGTTTTAACGTCTTCACACGCTCCCTATGACAGAGATTTCCATGGGAGCATGAATTGTTCAAGGAAGTCGCTGCTGCATGAACTTTGCAAAGCCCGTGAAATTGAATTTGTACATTTTTCTTCTTGGTGTTTGCTTGCAGGCTACCCCGCG